ATGTGTTCACTAACACAAAATGAACAAAGAAGTTCATATTATCGTATAGCTCAAATTCATTTATTAAACAGATATCAAAGGTTAAAGATTTATTATTTATTATTATTACAACATTTAGAGTAACTGTTCAAAGGGGCCTCCGTTTTTTTGAATGCAAAATTCAGAACGACGAATCCATGCTTCTCCGGCTCTTTGTATATCATCAGGATGGTGCTTCATAGTTACTGCGGCTTCCATGATCCGATTTCTTAGCTCTTCTTGCGTGAAAACTGCCGTAGAATAAAACATTGACATCATCCAGCTCCATACAAAATAATCTAATGGCTTCCTGAGATCGTGGTGGCCATTTAACAGGTCCGTTTCGACCAACCCATCGGTCTCCCTCCATAAGTTGCATTTAAATAATCAGTGACACTATTAGAAAAGTGAACTGGAGCACCTTCATGCATGAACGACAGCCTTTGCCTAATGCTTCGCAGAATATCTTCTAGGAGTTCGTGAAGATAATTTTGCAAAAAATACAAGTAAGATATACCTGACAGCCTAGATGACAAAAAGATGAAGCCGATGATGTTGTCGCTTAGAAGACCATACGAGACATTAAAAAAAAAAAAAAGGTATGTTGGTAATGTGCAATAGCAGTCGTATGAGGGTTTTCTTCAGCCCAAGTATGGGTATTTCGAAAATTAAGAATCTCGTTTCTTGTAAAGTAAGATTCACCAGCAACCAAAATGCAGATCAGGAAGTTAGGATCTCGTGTGCATTGTCGAATTAACCATTGGGAGAAATTTCTGCGCTTGTTATAATCTTGTGGTAACAAATCTTGCCTACTCGATACGTGAAATGAACACAATTGTTTTTCGCGTAAAGTTCGCCATACGCTGGTAGAGGAAACATCAAAACGACGTGACAATCTTCTGGTACTAGTAGTAGGAGATAACTGAACAGCATCGAGTATTTCTCCTTCAACGTTTGCAGTTCGTCGGAATCTTTGTCGACCGGCGTTTAATCGAATAGGTTTTAGCTTGTAATTATTCCTAAAGCTTCTTTCAATGGCATCAAAAGTTTTACGATTTGGTATTCTTCGGTTAGGAATATTTTTACGATATTTTCGAACAGCAACAGCACGGTTTCTACGTACATCGCCTTAAGTTAAAATCATGTATATTTGTTCTGCAAAAGTGAATAAATTTATGGTGTCTCTCACGTTTATCATAAATTGAACTGTGTCACAGTATTCACTTACACTAAAACACACAGAACTAGACAAACAGATGAGCAACTACTGTCATTGCTTTCGTTCATTTGTTCATCAGATCATTAAAACCTGTTATTTAGTATTAAACACGTTAAAATTTGTACAGTCAGTCTTAATTAGTATTGCCCAAAATCGCACTTTGCAAGACCAAGACTAAGACCGCCTCACTATTGCAAGACGAAGATCAAGACCAAGACGTAAAAAAAACAACAACGATTTTTTGAATAAAAATTAAGGCAAAATAGTTACTGATGCTTGACAATTTTATTATATGTAAAGATTTAGTATAACCAATATACTTTTGCATTTAATTCTTCTAATTTTTCATTCTCACTTAGTTAGATTTCCTCTATCTTAATAAAATACAGTAATATCTCTGTAGTACTAAGCCAGGGCGGTCCCTCCACGCCCAGTGGTATAATAAAAGGCCTCTGGCCACAGATGCAAAGAACGCATACAGCGTGCAGAGCCCTCTTAACTTAAAATGCCCTTGGGCAATAAAAGGAAAGTTGAAAATTTATGTATATATACATTTATATACACACTGAATTTATTCAAGAAATTCCTGGGGGGTAGGAAAAAAAAAAAAAAAAAGAAAAAAAAAAGAAAAAAAAAAAAAAAAAGTAGTACTAAGCTAATGGGTAACTTCAAGACCGTTGCGAGACTCTTGCGCAATACCAAGACCTAGATACCGTCTAAGTTTGCAAGACTCGTCTTGGTCTCGGATTTGGGCAACACTGGTCTTAATGTAGTAAATAAATAATAAATCTTTAATCTTTAATATCTGTTTAATAAGTGAGTTTGAGACACATGTTAATATGAACTTTTTGTTTATTTTGTGTTAGTGGACACATACCTAAATAGTGCCATGCAATTACGAAACACTCTATGTATACACATCCACAAGTTACTGGTCTATTATTCCCTTAAATCAGCCACCATTTTTAAAGCAGCGGCTCTGAAATGACAGACAAGATTTATGTTACTTAGAATAACACACAATTTACATAGAAACCTTCGCATGCGATCAGATATCCTGGTTCCAACGCCATCGGAAGCTCTGGTCTGGTTATGTACTCGTAGCTACAAATGGCCTAGTAAGAGGGTCAGAGTACCCACTCTGCATGTACTCTGAATATATACATTATTTTATATGTATGTATTTAAAAAGTTTGAACCACGGCTGTTTATATAAAGCAATATTCTTCTTTGGAAATATGATTCTAAACCAAAATTTACACAACTGCTGGTTTTGTGACAAGAGATCCGAACGTATTCTGGAAGCCTACAACTCCATCGACCCTTAAGACTAAGACGGATATAGCCTGAGGGCCATAAATTATATCGTTGGCGGTGATTAGCCGGCAATTATCGGGAGCAGCTGATTGGTCCGTTGTGATGTCACTACGGCACCACTACTTATCATCAGCCCTCGTCCTTCCTACTCTCTTAACATAACTGTAATTATCTCTTGTGCGTAATTTAATGAATGAAAATGGATTCAATGACCGATATCAATCAAAATTGATTCATTGAAGAACAAGTGTTTATTTTTAAGGTTTAATTTTATTTACATTCATATATATGAAATGCATAGTAATTTTCAAATATGAGTATTCACACATGTTAGAAGGTTCTCTGATTTCAAATAACCAATTCCTGGAGCATACTCAGTATAAAGTACCACTTTATAAAGTGGGTATCCTTAATTAAGTTCAGGATAACAACGGACCATAGCTTCTCCTTGTTTGAACGTTGTTCAAGAAATATTAATTCCTTACCAACTACTGAACATTAAAATCTCTTCATTAGTTATAGCGAAGCAGATGTTTTACTCTTTATATTTTTTAGTCTATTTTATTCTACACGAAAAAAAAAAACGCTGTAAATTATTTCACAATGGTTTATTACTTCCAAACAACTATACATCAAAAGTAACATTACCTTCCTAGTTACAAAGAAAAATAAATAAAAGGTGATTCCAATTATTGGACTAAACTTTTTTTTAATCATTAGTAATATGCTAAAAAAAAAAATAGCAATACTTCAGTAACACATTCAAAATTTAAAAAACAAACAAAGGATATAACATTTGGAGTAGAACATATTTTTAAAAACTGATGACCATATCTTTGCTCCCATTTGACCGATTTTAACGGTTTTTTTTTTTGTTTTTTTAGGAAATTCCGTAAACTTTTAAAAACCGTTTTAGCGAAGTTTCTTTGAAGAATTGCTTCCTCCTCGATCCCTGATTAGCCCCCGAGGCGTCTGAAAAGAAGATTGCCTCGTGATCTTCTTGTGTAAATTTATTATTTGAGTGCTGCCAGAGGGTAGTTTCTCAACAAGAGATTTCAGGTTATTATATTCTTGAGTGCACATTTACTAGTTGTATTTTTTTTTTATAATACAGCTGTAAATATCAATGAATAAAAAAAAAATATCAAGAGTTATTAAACTACAGCAAAAGTATTTAAAGTTATAAAAATATCCATGAAATATTTTTATATTTCACTTCTTCTTTCACACAAGTACAATCAAGTATTTTAAATAATTGCATTGACATGATTCGGTGGATTTTAAATACTTTTTTTTTTCAATCTTAGAAAAAAAATTAAAAATTTTCATTCAGTAAGAAAATTAGATGTAAAACATGTGATTTACATTATATAATGTTAGTTTTCTGAAATTATTATTTATATTTTTTTCATCACTCTCCGTAACCTTCGGCAACTTTATTTATTTGATATTATTTTTTCTAAAATTCTCCGTTTTCCAATTGCCGGAATTGTTGTTCATTTTAAGTAATTATTGTTGTAGAAAAATGGAGATAAAAAATCTTTAAAATAATCTTTATAAAATAATGTAGTAATTGAACCAAGTAGAGCTAACATGTTTAAAATTTGTTATTCCTGTTTTAGAATGGATCATTAAAATTTCAAATTCAGGAAACTATCAAAATTTAAAGTTTAGGAAAATTAAAATAAAAACAATAGGGGTGCCCAGGAGGGTGTTTGAGGGATATTCGAGGGAGGGATATTTTGGCGCCATTAATTTTTGAGGGGGCACATTTCGACGAGGTTATGCATTTTCAGAATAAAAGTTTTATACAAAAGATAAGCGAAAAACATGGAACAGACAGCAACAAGTGTAATTGTAAATGATCTGCCATTTTCCTAATTCTACGTTCGTTTGCTCTGTTTTTAAGAAAATTGAGCTAATATCTTGGGTGGTAGCCCTGGAGCCAGGGCCCAAAAATCGACCTCATCGCAGGCGAAGGTTTGAATGTAAATTAGATAGATAGATAGATAGATAGATAAATAGATAGAAAATAACTTTATTCTGGGGCACAGTCCCTTGAGAATAACTAAATAGAACGAAATTAAAAAATTACATCTGGATAAAATAAAATCAATAGAAAAAAAGAAATAATGTAAAGAAAATATATGGTAAATTTTGTCTAGGTCACTGTAAAGTATATTTAATTTTTTTTTAGTACTAATACAGTCTGCCACACTATAGTATTCAGGGCTATGGTGTTCATTCACACAATATGTACATAAGAAACGAAAATAAATATAAATAACCAAAGTAAGGAAAAAATATGTCAATAAAAAGATAAAGTAATATACAAGATGAGTAAAATAACAGGTTAAAGCCAAATGATATTAAATAAAACACATTCACACCTATGTACAATATTTACATTGGCCCAGGGGACTCTGAATCAAGCTTTGTCCCCCAAATGTGGAAGTCAAAGCAGGACTCCAGAAGATCCCAGTGCTTCCCTCCCATCTGCGACACTGGTAATTTAAGCCAGTGGAGACTGATCGAGGGTACTAGAGCAACAGACGCTAAGGACTTAAGTAAAGAATATGGCCCGTGCTAGTACTCCAATATATACATATTTACAAAAGGTAGCGGGGCCACTGCCGTTTTAAACTCCGAGGAGAATTGTAGGAATGACTGGAGCTAGATAGAGACTGTGCTGCAGGATTAGGATGATGAGTGAGATTCTGGTGAAATATTTTAATTAATAAAATTAAACGTTTTTTATTTTATTTTCCTATTCAACAAAAACATGAAAAAAAAACAACCTAAAGTTCCTACTTTTATGCTCGAAATTAGACGATTGATTACATACAATTTTTTTAAACTCTTGAGACTGCTATCACTTACCTAGACATTTCCCTCTATTTATGGGACATCATGCTTTGATTTTTTTGCCAACATAATTATCTTCTCTACATTTCTGCAAAGTCTGTTTAAGCCAAACATAAGGTTCTGAAGTTTGTTATGGAAGGATGGGTATCTGGATTGGGCCAAATCGGAAACATATGGAACATTAAGGTCTTTATAGATGATTTTATTTCTGACAAAGTAAGTAAGGAGCATTGAGGATTTTACGGAAGGATTTCGTATTGTAAGGATTGGATACGAGAGAAATTCGATGGCTTAGTGGAGCCCCAGAGCTCAACTCCGTAAGTTCAAATAAGTCTTATTATTGTCATATATATGAGTCGTTTGTAATTGATTGAAAGCTTAGAGCGTTTTTCTAGTAAGTGTTGCAGTTGTCGGAAACGTCGAGCGGTTTCTTGTCGTTTCAGTCTTGTTTGAGGATTCCATGTGAGTCGTTGTTCCAGGTGGAGTCCTCGGTAACGGATTTGTTCAACTGGGATAAATGGGAATTGTTAAAGGATACTGTAGGACTGGAGGTCATAGGTTTGCGACGCTGGGGAAAGGTAATTTGATGGGATTTATTGGAATTTATTTTAATTCTCCAGTTTTGACACCATTCTTCAAGGTTTGTGATGTGTGATTGAAGGATTTGGGATGCAATTGCTGGGTCTTTATTTACTAATAGGATACATGTGTCATCGGCATAGGTGGTGATGACAGTGGCAGGATGGGTTGGGATGTCAGCTGTATAAACTGTGTAAACGATAGGACCAAGGATACTACCTTGAGGAGTCTCTAGATATGATATTATATTTAAATAATTAGGTATCTATTGGTTGATATCTATAATCTTTAATACTTTTATTGATAATCATCAATAATCAATCGATACATTAGTAATATCTTATTTATTATTGTATTATATTGCGATATATTCTTGTGAAAACCCAAAACAGGTTTCCCGACCTCCCGAACAAGAAGACAATAAGCTGTGGGAAGGCGGACTGCGCCCAGTTTTCCAAATACGGTCTCGGGCCCTGATAAATAACAATACTCGATCTATTGTGTATTCCTTTCTCCGGATCTCTCTTACGAAATTTATTTTCAACCTTGTCTGCCGAGGGCATTTTGTATACTATTTTATATCATAATTATATGTATGCACATTTCAAATAACATAATGCATTCCACTCTGAGTATTGAAAAGAAAATTGTTTGCAGGGTACATTTTTTTTTTTTATTATTATTTCCAATAATCAATCTTTATAATCGACGAAGAAAAATCTGATGCGATGCGTGCATCACTATCACTTGCAACTCCTCTTAGCGGAAATAAGAATTTTCAGACAAAGGGGAAGTGGATGTAAAAATTATGAAATGAAAAATAATTTTATTTGGGACTGAAGTCCCCTTAGAATAATAGTTTTACAAAATATGTACATTAGTCTGGCATGTAAGGATTATACAAATATATACAAAAAATACCTAGGAAATTGTAAGCACATATATATGTGTGTGTGTGTGTGTGTGTGTGTGTGTGTGCTTACAATTTCCTAGGTATTTTGTGTGTGTATATATATATATATATATATATATATATATATATATATATATATATATGCACACAAAGATATTAAGAAAAATACAAATATATATAAAAAAATAAATAAAAGTAGCAAGGAAAATATAAATATCTACATAACATAATAACGATAAACACAGATATATACAATAAAATACTGAGATATAAAAAGATTAGTAAATAAAATGGCTTCTATCAATTAACTGCTGGTGGCCAACGATTATATACGCTATATTTATTTATATTTGTATAAGTTCCCTTATATATACAAAATTTAATATTTACATCTCTGCAATATATACAATTAAATATTAAATAACACCAAGAAAAGCATTTATGTATACCTACATAATAATTTCGGAGTCCGCATTATATTAAGCTCATGTTACGTATGGAACCGTGTTCTAATCTTTCGGGCGAGCTCCCGTGCGATCACTTATTTCTCCTTTAGTTATTATCAAATTATTTCATATTTTATATTTAACTATCTTTTATATTATAAATTAATGTGAATTGGTCAATTGTTTTAGATAACAAAAATTAAAGGTACATTAGGGCAAACTAATACTGAAAAATAGCCATTTAAGCTCTATTAGAGTATATCAATCAGAATAAAACCTACTTTTTTCTAAAAAGCTTGTTGAGTTTATATTAATATAATGAATTTAATCAAAATCGTTGGAGCTGTTTCCGAGAAAATCGTAAAAATGTATTTAGTCCATGATATAAAGTGCCACTTCCGGTTAGTTGATTTTGACGAAAAAGTTGGAGTAACATTTCAAGCATATAAAAATCTTAAATACGCAATTTCACTTTCTTAAGACTTTTCGTTCTTCAGCTAGACTGTTAACACACACTCACTGACCATTTTGCGGGACTTGGTTATTTCGACTCAGGGGACCTCAAAACATGTTTTTCCGTTAAAAACTCAGATTCAAAAATTTTCACGATCGCAATACTTTCCCTTAGTATATATTTAGTTTATTAGCATATATAGGTAAGTGAAAGTAAAAACTTGCCTGTGTCGCTATATACTGCAGTGCGGAAACTAATCTACCGATTTGTAATGAAATTTGGCCAAAGTGTTCTCCTCACAGCCCTTTAAATTTATATACATGACATACTTAACCGAAAAGTACTTTTCTATCAAGATGATAACCGAAAAATCTGTACCATATAGACTGTAGCGCTTAAACGGGTGTACCGATTTCGATGAATCTTGGCTAAAGTCTACTTATTTTACTTTATAGTAATTTCAAAGTTTACAAAATTTCCAAAAAAAAGTTTAAAAGGCAACGGGAAAAAGACTTTAGCGAAGTCTTAGCGAAGTTCATTGAAATCGATACATTCGTTCAGGCGCTACAGTCTATAGCAACGCAGGTTTTTCCGTCGCCATCTTCAGAGGAAAAGGCGGATAGAAATGTCAATGAAGGAGAACAATCCTCGGGTGACCACTAATTTTAAATCCAAATTTGAAAAAAAAATCGGTCCAGTAGTTTCGGAGAAAATGTGCGGACGGCGGACGGACGAAAATTTTTTTATTCGTTTTTTTGAATTCTACGTATCCTGAAACGTAAAACCTCAAATTTTGAGATTGGGTTAAGTTTTTGAATTTTTTGTTCGATCACAATGGTTCATTATTGATAATAATAAACCAAAAGGTGAGACCCATCACCTAATCATTATATAAAATAAATAAAAAGGCTTAGCGAACCCGAAGGTTCGATGCCGACACCACCAATCGCTTATTACACACCTCCCTCCACCGTTCGCCGTCCAAACCTAGTCCCTTCAGATCGGCTTTAATGCATTCTTCCCACCTTTGTCTCGGTCTACCCCTCGGACGCTTACCATTCGGCACAGCAAATATTAACCTTTTAGGAATTCTCTCGTTACTAAGTCCAACAACTTTACAAGCCCATTTGATTCGCCGCGATGAAATTACCTCAATTATATTACCCCGATACAGTTCACGTAATTCGGCGTTGTGTAACCGTCTGAACTCTCCGGTTAACTCATCCTTCCTTGGTCCGAATATTCTACGCAATATTTTATTTTCAAAAACCCTAAGACGCTGCTCATCCCTTAATGTAAGCGGCCAAGTTTCGCACCCATAAAGAACTGTAGGCAAGATAATTGTTTTATAGATTCTAATTTTTAAGTTCCGGGACAAGAGACGCGAACTGAGTAGTTTTGTCACAGAAAAATAGCAAGCATTTCCCGCCTTCAGTCTAACCTTAATTTCTTCTTCAATTTCGTTTTTTCTAGTTATCGTAGAACCTAGATACCTAAACTTATCTACCTGTTCAAACATATTACCATCTATATCGATATCACCAGTAGTATTGCCATTTTTATTTATATCATTATATAGAAATCAAGAATATTACCAGAAATAATAATGAAGATATATGCTTCCTTAAAATGCAAACTAGCAGAAAAAGGAGAATTCCAAGATCTTGAACCTTGTCAAAAAAATAATCTTTTTAATAATGATGAAATAATTTTTTTTTGTAGGCTACTTATTAGTGTTGCCCGAGACGTGTCTTGGTCTTGCAAACTCAGTCTTGGTCGTGATCTTGGTCTTGCGCAAGAGCTTCTCAACAGTCTTGCAGTTACTTATTAGCTTATTACTGTAGATATATTGCTGTAATTTTATAGATAGGAGAAACCTAACTAAGCATGAATGAAAAATTAGAAGAGTTAAATGAAAAATTATATTGGTTATAGCAATTATTTACATACAGTAACTAAGATTGCCAAGTATTAGTAACTATTTTGGCTTATTTTTTATTTCAAAATTTTTTTTTTTTGCCAGTTCTGGTCTTGGTCTTGCAACAGTTAGGCCCAAGACCGATTTTGGGCAACGCTAGTACCTAGTATTCTTTCAAATAATCATGGATGCAATGCAAGAAATGGAATTATACGTTTTGAATTACTCGCAAATATATTTTCTGTTCTTTCGTCACTTTTTTTCTTTTAAAATTTCGAAGAAATGTGACTATTTTTCCCACCTGAAGGAGGATAAGATCTTCAAAATGAGAAGTCAATTCTTGGCTTTGATGAAGAATTTACGAAGATATAGGGTACCGACAAAAAACACCTTTCAGAAATAATATCAAAATATGGGGTTATATTTCTATAACGCTGGTACTTTAATTTCCCTTGAAGACTCGTTATAGCGAGTGTCCATTCGGGAAGTTATTTCTTCTTCCAGAGAAGAAGTTGCTGACCACTCATCCTAGAACTCGAAAAGCCGTGGCCTCGAGCTCGTATGAAGGCAGACATAGGTTCCTGGAAGTGGAAGAACAGCTGCAGCATACGGACCGTTCTCGGACCTCCGCAGTTCGCGGCACAATGCACAATTAGAAACGCGTCCTCTACCCGGTAATGGGTTCGCTTCCAAGAGGCCTATCGCTGTAACTGACCAAATGTGGATTCGCGCGTCAGCGGCGCTTGCTAACTCCAGTGCCTTCCGAAAATAATAGTTCCTAAACTCAGCGGTAATTTCATCGAAGAAATCCATCGATGATATCTAGCAGTGATGGACAGCGATTTAAACTGAGTTTAGTATTGTAGTAGAAACCCCTGAAAAGTAAAAAAAAAAAACACAGTGGAGGGGAGGGAGTAGTGATTTTAGACAAAATTTTTAACAAAAAAAGTTCATTAGATACATCAATGATTTCTAGAACAATGTTTTCCCCCAATCACAAATACGGTTGTTAAGGTGACAGTCCACTCTTGGGGCACACATATATCAGTTGATGTGACAGTAGCTGTCACAGCAGCGCAAACTTATATACCTACCATAGAATTTGTATAATGAAATTCAATTCAGTGCAGCTATTTCATTTTGCAGGATGCTGATTTATTGTTTAAATAACCTAATTTTCAAGCATATTTGATACTATATAACTCTGGAGCCGACTTAGTCTCAGTCACCATATTTGTGCTATATTTGCTTATTATAAAGTTTCATAAAATGTACAAGTTTCATAATTTTCCACTAAGTCCCTTTTATAATATATAAATGAATTTTGGATGTTTTTGAAAAGTCATATCTAAAAAAAGATGCGATTTTCAAGATTGAAATTTTATCAGAGAGTAGCACAATAATAGGACTATATAAGAAAAAAAATAAAGTTGACATTATTTTATTTATGAAACTTTTGTGGCGCTAAACGTCTCGTTTTATGCTAATGTTCATTTTATAGTTGTCAATTTTTTTAACAACTTTTATCACAACTTAGCTAATGTATTGCAAGATGAAAAAAAAATCTGGTGCGCGCAACACACAACTTTCACTTACTCTTTGAACTTTGAATAAAAATTATTTTCTGGCCAAGTTAGGCTATTATAAAATGTTTTAAATTGCATTTAAAAAAAAAATAGCATTACCTTATTAACACATTCAAAATTCAAAAACCGAAAAAAAGGATACAACCATTGCAGCAGAACGTATTAAAAAAAAACTAGAGACCATATCTTATCTCCTAGTTATCCGATTCTAGCGATTTTTTTTTGTTTGTTTTTTAGGCAATTTAAATACCTTTGAAACATCTTATCACAACATTCCCAAAAAAGTGTATACTTTTTGAGTTATTCGGAATTTAATTTTATCATCCCTCGTAACTTTTTTTCAGCTTCTTTTCGCTGATGAATGTTATATAGATAAATTTGAAGGGTGTCGAGAAAATGATTTTAGCGAAGTTTCAATGAAATCGGTACATTCGTTTAGGCGCTACAGTCTATAGCTAGGTTTTTCTGCATTTTTATTTTTTTTCTCCTTTATTAACTTATCAAATTCTTTCAAAAGTTATATTTAGCATTTTTTCGTAACTCTGAATAATGCAAAATAATTAACTTTTTAAAATAAACCATATTAAAGGTACTTTAGAGGAAGACGTATATGAACATTGGGCATTTAAGCCCAGTAAAGTGACATCAATGAGGATAAGACCTAATTTATATTAAAGACCATTTAATTATACAATGATGCACCGAGTTTAATCAAAATCGTTAGAGCCGTTTTTGAGAAAACTGTGCAAATGTGTTTCAGCGTTGATATAAAGTGGCACTTCCGGTTAGCCGATTTTAAGGAAAAAGTTGCCGTCACAACTAAGGCATATACCTATCTTAAATACGTGATATCAGTTTCATAGGACTTTTCGTTTTTGAGCTAGACTGCTAACATACAAACACACAGACCATTTGTCGGGACTTGGTCATTTCGACTCAGAGTACCTCAAAACGTATAAATCCGTCGAAAACTCAGATTCAAAAATTTTCTCGATCGCAATACTTTCACTTACTATATATTACATATATACGTAAGTGAAAGTAAAAATATAGCGAAACATCATCATTATTTTAGTTTTTGTTTTGTTTTGATATCTGAAAAAATGTTTTAGTTAAAGTAGGTAGGATATGCCGATACCGACTCTCATCAGCCAGCAATATTTTTTGCTCTATAACTAAAAGAACCAGTTGAGTCTGAGTGATCAAATTCATATCACACATTTCTACTAAAAAAAGGCATAAGTGGGGTAATTTTCATAATTTTTCACTCAGTCAATTTTGTGATATTTAATATCAAAAATCGCCTAAAACGACTTTTAGCCTTTTTTTAGAAAATGCATTGGTTTTATTTTAAATAACTAGATTTTAAAGATTGAAAATGGAAAAAAAAAATATTTTTTTTGAAAATGTCTCTTGGAGCCGAAACATTAAGAAATAATTTTTAAATATGAAATAAAAAGGCTATGATATTAAAAAGGGTTTTGATATATAAATAATTATATATAGATTAAATATAATAATTATTAAAAAATCTCACAAAAAAAAAATATGAATAACCTAAATAAGGTTTTTTGTCATCGATATATGATTTAATTAAAATTTCAATTTAGTATTGATGTTTGCATATGTACTATTTAACCCATTTGTATCTGCATGAAAATTATATACTTTGTCTAGTGTTATAGTAATATAAATTGATTCCAATACTTTGTGCTTATACCTATTTTTTTTAAGTAATTATTAGTTGGTACCTTTATTAATATTATTAGAACTTTAAAGTTTTTGGTTCCTTTTAAAATTTAGTCTATGATTTTTTATGGATCAAAATTATTATGTGAATTAAATGGTGAATGGTCAAAATACAATTTTATGCGACACTCCAAATTTTTAAATTAATTTTTATTCCGGAAAAACATCTGGAATTGTTAAAATTCTTAATCCCTAAAAAATATAAATAAACAAATTTTAAGAACTTCGGTCAATATTTCTTAGGTAAACTTACCCAAAAGCAAGTCTCTCAGATACCATAAAATAACTTAATCAGTAATTCTTTCGCCAAAGCAGTCATATTTAGGGCAGAAAGAGATGAGAAGATAAAGATCCAGAACTGAAACAACATTTCTATCATCAACTATTCAATAATTAGAATATAATGAGAATCTCACGAAATGGATCACAAATGAAACAATGTCGGAAGACGCACACATCAGCTGAAAACTATCGACAGATAATGTTCTAATAAACCACTCATCGATACCATGAAACCTCGAAAAACTGATAAGATTATGAAATTTTAATATTCTCTGACGTAATATTTAATAGTTTTATTTATATGTTTTTTGGAAAGTTCAGAATCATATAATACCATTTCGGTCATTAAATTATCAAAATTACATTTCGAGTATAGTTGTTATGATTAAAAGATTTATAAACAAAGTTTTAAACAAAAGAACATAACTGCGGTTTCTCTAAAAGATGTTCTACATATTCAATTTTCTTGACTGAAGCTTTGTCCTAGAAACCGTAGTTATGTAATTTGGCCAATCAAAGGGATAAGAGGAGAAAAAAAAGATACAGTTCTTTTTCAAAAACTTCACTTTCAATATGGACAAAAACTGTAGGGAAGTTAGAGACAAAATCATCGATCTCAATTTTATCAAATTCTAACCACTATCTTCAAAAAAACAACTGAGGTATGTGCTTCATAATTAATTATACGAAATGTAAATTATAAATAATAACTTTTTATAAAGAGCATGAAATGCTGATCATTTTCCTCGCTTACAGTATGTAATTCCGATTTTTAGTTTCTGAGATATTTTAATCTATATCTTCAATAAAACTCGTTATAATTTGCTTTTCGACACTATTTTTTCCTTTTCACATCCCTATACGTAACGACGTTACGTTACGATACAATTTTGAATAATAGCTCATTACAAAGAGGATGAAATTATGAACATTTTCCTCGCTTACAATATGCAGATCCAAATTTTAGTTTTTCAGATATTTTAATCCATACGCAAAAACATTTCAATCAGTCGACTCCAGACGACTTTGCCCAAGCGTTACACATCGGAGATCTTACGACTCAATCTAATTCACTCTCCACAAAAAAGTGTAAAACGGTCCTAAAGAAATCTTCACTTAAAAAATTGATATACCTAATTTATATGAACCAAAATGGCGTGGAATGTGGAATGCAATGAACCCATGGGAAAGGATCTTATCTTTATATTATAGTTACATGGGGTCATGTATTTTAAGTTGTATACGAACATTTCATTCAAGCAGTCCTGTGAAGTCTATTCCATTCATGTAACGAGCCTTTAATTCGATTTGATACAATTTTTAAGAATTACGGGTTGATATATTGATGCTCCAATATAGGATTTGTCAAATTCAATCTAATTTTTATTATCAAACCAAAAATCATAGATCTTAAAATATACGTAGTTATTTAAGCTTTTTTAAATAGTATTTAAAACACAATAAATGATAAATTTATACGTAATATGACGATTCATCGATTAACAATGGTGAAATTTGAATAACTATTATTATTTTATGTTGAATTGAAGGAAATTGGGTTGAGTGTTCAGTCAAAAATAAATAAATTAAAGTACGTTTCGACCCAATTTAGGCTTTCAACAGAGCTAAGAAAAGGTCGAACAACGATGTGAAAAAAAATAATATTAATATTAATAATTGAAGGAACATATCTTACATATTTTTTTATATGTTCCTTACATTATTATTTTTATTTATTTTTCATAAATTAATAGTTTCTCATATTTTGATCTAGTCTTTACTTAGTTCTGATGAAGGCCTGAACTTTGGGACGAAACGTCGGCAACTATAGAAATAAATATCGAAGGAAGTTTATCGACTGTTTCTACATATCATGGGTGATAAATATTCAGGACGCAGTCATTATAAAGATTTTATTGGTGCTGTCGTTTCAATCCAAACATGTGGGTCATCTTCAGGGCTTGTTTCGAGCACTGAAGATATTCAAGTACTTATTAGATATCCGACGTACCTGATGATAACCCACGTGTTTGGGTTGA